TTTAAAGGTAGGAAGTTGCCAGAGAATTACAATGAAGCTAAATTCATCACTTTTGGCATGCTAATTTACTTTATAGCATGGATCGTATTTATCCCTGTCTACGCAACTACATTTGGCAAATACTTGCCAGCAGTGGAAATCATCGTTGTTTTAATATCCAATTATGGAATCCTCTGCTGCACTTTTCTACCAAAATGCTATATTATCATTTACAAGCAAGAAACAAACACAAAATCTGCCTTTCTCAAAATGGTTTACACTTACTCCTCTAAGAGTGCAGGCAGCGTTGCTGTTAGTCAGGTTTCTTTAGATTCAAAATCTTCCAGCTTCCGAGCCACTATCACAGACTCGTGTAAAACTGAGAATGACTCTGTGAATGGAAACTGCCATTTCCAAGTGCCTGGGCAGTCACTAATAAAAGGAAAAGTTCTTCCTAAAAATGCTGGAAGGACTGTGGTCAGGAAAAGAGTCTCCAGCATATGATTGGCCAGTGTTGAAGTACCAGAAGTTAAAAAGCCATTTTAGGGAGCCATTTGTCTTTCAGATCTCTTTCCTTTTGCTATCTCCAAGGAGGACAGGCCACATGAAACATGTTTTCCTGTACATAGGCAGTTATCCATTACCAGATCGGAAAGGCTTTCCTGACTCACAGAGTCCATCCCTTGCTCCTGCAAACTTGCTGATGTGCAGTCCCCTTCAGCAGCTCCCTTCCTTCCCCATCCAGCCCACACAGACCTGTGCGAACCAATTCTGCAACCTCCCTTCCTCAAGTGAGGCAGAAGCATCACAAAATTATTATTTCTCACAGTCATGTAAGTGGGACCACATGAGTTTCCCCACTTCTTTTGCCTCTTTGATGCTCAGTTGTTTAAGGAGCTCTTCTTCTCATCTTGGCCCCATTTTACAGATCAAAGAGAACCTTGTCCCAGCCTTTGTTTGCCAAGATAAACAAGTCCAGTCCTTTAGTCTCCACTTTAAAGATAGGCTTTCCATTCTTCTGAACTTCCAAAAGAAACTCTTTTCATCTAGTATAAAGGAATCTTTTTTTTCCTTCCCCAAAATTGCACAACTTATTCCATATGAATGCTGTAGTAACATTTAAGTTTTCTTGTGTTTACTGGCTTGGTAATGAACTAGAGACAGAGCTATAAAGAAATTAGAGAATTCTTCTGGAGCTCTGTAGTTATACATATGTTCATCTACCTTTTTCCCCATACTCAGAAGAGACACACTGATTCACCTCATGCACCTCCTCTGATGCACGAGGAGAGCGAGCCCCAGGTGTCCTTTTATTTGAGAGTGTAAAGTCAATGTGTAGTGCCAAAAGTTAAAACAACTAATTGATTCCTCTCATTAGCATAAATAATGTAATGACCAGTATCAGCATGAGGGCATCCTGGAAAATTTAAAGGGGTTGATATATATTTTTTAAAATGTGATTTTCAATAAGAACATGACAACGCACCATTAGGATACACAGAAATAGCGCAAGGATGACCTGGCATGATCTGCACTGATTGAGTCTCTGCTCTGTAGCTCCATGAGCACAGCTGTGCTGTGCCTTCTGTATGAGAGGCACAGGGCACATTCAGAGAAGGAAGAATTTTTCTGTCAGGATAATGGTACCACAGAGCGTTTTCAGACAGAGCTTAAACAGCAGAACTACATTGTCAATACAGGAACAGGAAAATACTTTTCCATATTCATAAAGCCCAGAACATAGAAACTTTGCTATTTAAGTTCTGTGTCATGTTACTGTAAAATAATACTAAAATCCTTGATATTGTGTATCTATTAGGGTATTTTAAAGTAATTTGAAAGGCAAGAGTGCAATTCACATACGGATTTGTGTAAATATATATATTCTGTTGCTGATTGTAGGAATGAAGGTTTATGTGTATATATTTATATGTTGAATGCTATTTATACTTCAGTTGTTGCAAATACTTTTCTGTGTATGAGGTTATGGATGATAAGGTTAAGGTTCCTACAATGTGACAGCCAATGCAGCAAGAATTCTTGCCCTAAAAGAGAGATGCAAAGCTTACATTGCACAACTGTCAGCAATCAGCTGGTTAGAAAAGTTAATTTGGCTGGAATACTGTACATGTATTTATTGTTTTCAAAAGTGTTGAGTGTAGCATGCCTTGAAGCTATATGAAAGGGAATTATTAAAGCCATATTGATGTTTAAAATTGAGTTTGCTTACTTAATTTCCTTACCTCACCCCATGAGCTTCTGTTTGGCCTTGAACAACAGCAATACATGCACCTGTAAGGTTGTTTCCACTATAGATCTCAGCCTGCTTAGAAACATGCTTTAGACTGAAAACTGTGTGTGGCAGGGGATTCATCCTGCAGGACAATGAGGAGAATGTCTGGATGAACAGGGCCTGGTGACAGCAGTGTGAAGGTCTCTGCTGAGGTATCTCTGAGGAAATGGCAGAATTTCACATATGGCAGAATTTCAAAGGAGCCCTACATGCTCCATCTAATTCTCCAGCTACTCAGGTCTTCTGTGCAAAGCACAGTCCATGGTGGAGCAGAGAGGATGTGACAGGTTTGGGAGGTTGACTTGACAGCAAAAAAGAGACCTTAGACCAAGAGGTGTTACATGGTTTTAAATGCCTTGTCTGTGAGAAGCAAATGATCATATGTAGGTAGGACGTAAAGGGATTGCGCTACCCTACACAGAGGGTATGAAAAAGCTTAAAATTGGAGTTTATTATGCTAAAATAGCATTTGTGCACATTCTTCTGCCCAGGGCAGTAAGTATTCTAGCAATCTGGCTATTCCTCTTGCCAGTCACGGGGACATTAAAGGAGTCTGAAGCAGATTTTCATCCCCAGAGCACAGGACAGGAATCACCTTCCAGAGTCATAGCAAAGTCTTATCCTGGTGCTCCCAGAGCTGTGGCCCATAGGTCAGGCCATGTGAGGCCAAAGGGACCAGCTCTCTTTTCTGGCTCAGAGCACATTCTGCTTGCTTACTTTGGAAAGATCCTGAAACCACTTCTCAAAACATTAACATCCCACAGGCACATTTTCCATCTCTGAGAGCAATAGAGAGAACAAATATCTCCAAATACAGTGCTGTTCACCAAGAAATCAAATGGGAGAATGCAGTTTGTTAAGGTCAGCAGGAGGCTGCTCTGGATGTAAACATTATTTACCTTTCAAGGGCTTATGTCATCCATTGTTAATAATGCTAAATACTGTATTCTGAAACAACTATCATACAATGTAGAGTATCTTCAGGGAGAATGAAGACCATGAAGGCCACCGAGTGTTTGACATCCTCTTGTCCAGAGCATAATTCCCTCAAGATTTCAGTAGCTCTGGCTGTGTAGATGCCTTTCAGCTGCCCACAATTTTTAGAGCAGTTCTTTGGTGAGTGCTGGAAACTACATGAGCTCCAGGCTTGGTCCCAGCAGCTCTTCTGATGGCCACTGGAACTACAGTGACTCTAAATGTGTGGGTGACCATCAGGAGGGGCAACGGATAGCTGTGTCTGGAATCTCCTCATAATGAATGACACTGAGCCCAGCCCAGATGTGCTGACTCTTCCTACCCTTCCCAGCTGTGTCTTCAGGGACAAGGAACACTGCTTGACACTGTGCCAGTCTCTTTGAGCAAAGGTAAAGTATCATCCTCTATCATCATCTGTTGATGTGTCTTCATCTCCGTGACAACGCTCTGAAAGAGGGCACAGCTGCTCAAGGAGTGTAAAAAAAGGGCTTGTAAAGAGGTGCATCTCCTCCTTTTTGTTATATGCTCTGCTCCTGAAGAAAAGATAGCTGGAGGTTTTGGCTACAAATAGTTCAAAACCCCCCTTTTGTGCTGTCACTGAGCACAGGACTTAAGCTGTTGCCAGACAGTGATCTATCCCTGGGGAGTGGGACTTCCTCTGCTCATCTGCAACCATTCTGGCTTTGGCTGATGCATGTAAAATCTTCCACTGCTTGGTGCCTCAGACACAGTTCTGTTGAGACAGTCTTAAACCGTCATGAATATCACACTGACACAGGCTGCTTCTTAGTCTATTCTGCACTGATTTCTCAGAATGGGTTTTTACAGTTTGTTTATTTGTTTGATTTTGGGGGGTTTTTGGTTGGTTTTTTGTTTGTTTGTTTGTTTTTGTTTTGTTTTTAAATAAAGCACTTAGTCTATTCTGTGCTGATTTCTCGGAATGGGTTTTTACAGTTTGTTTCTTTGTCTGATTTTGGGTTTTTTTTTTGGTTTTTTTGTTTGTTTGTTTGTTTGTTTTTGTTTTGTTTTTAAATAAAGCTCTGTCCAGGATGTGAAAAGAAAAACAATATTTTTTTTTTTTTCAGCTGAAGTAGATGGAAAATCCTGTGATGACAATCAGTACATTTGAGCATTCTGAAAGCAGTAAAATGACAGAAACACAGATGTGGGCAGGTTTGTGTCACAGAACTTATACTCTACATAGAATCATAAAATGGTTTGGGTTGGAAGGGACCTTAAAGATCATCTGGTTGCCATGGGCAGAAACACCTTCCACTAGACCAGGTTGCTCAAAGCCCCACCCAACCCTCCAGGGATGGGGCATCCACAACTTCTCTGAGCAACCTGTGCCAGTGTCTCACCAACCTCACAGGAAAGAATTTCTTCCTAATCTAAACCCATTCTGATTCAGTTTAAGGCCATTACTCCTTGTAATGGGAATATAGGAATCACTACATGCGCTTGTAAAAAACCTTTCTCCATCTTTCTTGTGGGTCCCCTCTGGCACTGGAAGATGCTTTAAGGTCTCCCTGGAACGTTCTCTTCTTCAGGCTGAAGCTCTGCCAGCCTGTCTTCACGGGAGAGGTGCTCTGGTCTCTGGTTGTTTTTGTGGCCCTCCTCAGGACTCGCTCCAGCAGGTGCGCGTCCTAACATGAAGCTGAACTACCGCGCCTGTTTTCTTAGCTGAGTTTTGCCTCGGACAGTGACCTCTCTTTACTTGAGTTGCAATCCGTGAGTGCGGTAGGTGAACAGGATGCCTTTTCGGGAGAACCGATCCCGCTGGGTGCCGGCGATGGTCCCGCCTCTCCTAGCCTCTCCTCCGGGCGCGGCTGGAAGGGTCCGCGGAGCGGGGTGGGGCGGGGCGGGGCCGGGGTCGCTCCCGCTGCGGCAGAGAGTCCTGCCGAGGCAGAGGGTCCGGCCGAGGCAGAGGGTCCGGCCGAGGCAGAGGGTCCCGCTGCTGCAGAAGGTCCGGCCGAAGCAGAAAGTCCGGCCGAGGCACAGGGTCCCGCCGCTCCTCGCCGTCCTGGCCATGCTGCCGGCGCGCCTCCGCCCGGGGCGGCTGCTGTCCGCCGCGCCGCTCCGCCCGCCCGCGCCGCGGGGAGCCGCGGCCGCCGGGGATCCCGCCCGGAGCCCGGGCACCACCCGCGGTAAGGGGCTGCCCGCCGAGCCGGGGGAAGCGGAGGCACCGGGATCGGCCCGGCGGCGGCGTCCCGGGGCTAATGGGGTGATGCGCGGGCGGGCGGCTCGGGACCGGGACGGATTGGAGCGGGGCTGGGCTGCCCGGTGGGGCGGCCGCCGGTGGCATCACAGCTCGGGTGGTCCCGAGCGTTCTCCTGCTCGCCTGGGTACCCACAGGGGAGGTCGAATCAGACCCGCAGAAACGCTCGCTGCGTGCGGGGATATTCCAGAGACGGCTCGGAGGTGACTCTGCGTAGCCGAAACCTGGAGCTCTAATCCCTAAATTACTCTTCCAACGACCAAAATGGGTAGGGTTTTTCCCTTCTACAACTTGCTATCATAATTCTCTCTTAGTGCATGGTTTACAAAGTGTTTGGGTTTGTTTGTTTGTTTTTTCTCTCACTCTTTAAGCTGAGCAGGCTCACAAGGTGGCTGCAAGTTACAAACCTTCGAAGTTTGACAAAAAAATCCTCCTCTGGACTGGACGTTTCAAGACAGAAGAAGAGATTCCTCTGAGGATCCCGTAAGTGCATTGGCCTTGTCCAAGGGTAACATGGAGCTGAAGGGAAAGCAGTGGTGTGATCCTGATTCTGTGGAAAATTTAAAGCTTCTCCACAGAGCTTAAAACGATCGGTTTTACAACACTGAGACTTGGAAACAAATTAGAGGGCAAGAGAATTTCCTGTCCTGGTTAGAGGTTAAGATGAGAAAATGTTCCTTGCTGGAGTCCCTAGAGCCCGGGATTAAGAACAGATCCATCTGAGTAGACAGCCTTGGTTACATTTATGTACTGGTTTGTTTGTTTTGCTTAGTCCTAATGTGCAATCAGAGAAGGATGTTATTGGTAAACAATATTTTTTGTTTATACCTCACATAAACTGTTCTAAGGGAGCTTAGAATGACTACATACAATAAATTATTTTTTATTATAGAATTTGAGGAAAAATAGGGAAGGAGGTAATGAGAGAAGAAGCCCTCATCAAGGAAAACTGAGCACTTGACATAGCCTTAGTCTTCTGTTCTTGCTGACCCACTGGACTATATGATCTTTGAAGGTCCCTTTCCTCCCAAACCACACAGACTCTACAGTTCCCTGACTTGCTGAAAATTAGCAACCCCTAAGGGAGTCAGGCACTAAACACCTGAAACCCCTCTAATGTTTAAGGCTCCCTTTTCTTAGGACTTTAGATAGAGTGTTAGCCATCTCTCCAGGATGCTACTTTTTGTCATCAAAGCATGTCCCTGCCTTGGATGATACGTTGAGAATAAACAGTGTGCAGAGCTGTGTAAAGCAACAGGTACATCCTCTGCCTATTCTTACTGGTTCCTGACTGTTTCACTGGAGTTTGCTGAGCTGGACAGTTTAGCCTATCTTGTGCTGTTAGTTTCACCATCTTCCTCTAGAGGAAGGTTCAGACATGTCTCAGGAGCTGTAAATGCTATTCAAGTTGTCAGGAGATGTTTATAAAGATATGGCATTTACCAGTCATACAGACACATGCACAAAAATCACTCCTTTCTGGCTTGGCAGGTGAGGGTCTCCACTGTGCTTTCTGAGTAAGCAAAGTATTTTTAGAACTGTAAGACTATACTATACTATACTATACTATACTATACTATACTATACTGCTTTATAGCAAGACTATACTATACTATACTATACTATACGTTATTGTAAATAGTAATATACTAGAAGTTGTTGATTGTTAGACATTGAGGCTAAACTGTGGCACTGTTTTAACCCTTCTCAAAAGAAGAATTGCAAAGTGTTGCTTAAATAGTAATATACTAGAAGCAGTTGATTGTTAGACATTGAGGCTAAACTGTGGCACTGTTTTAACTCTTCTCAAAAGAAGAATTGCGAAGTGCTGCTACCTGTGAACACAACCTAACTGCTGAAGATTGTTTGTACTATGAAACAAATCTGCAGGCTTCATTCAAGGTTGTTGTGGTTTCTTTGGGGTTTTTTTAAAGCCCCAGCTGTTGCTCACTTCAGCAGAGGTTTGCCTGGAGTCTTGATTAAAGACTGAATAGCAAAGACCTTAATATGCAATTAGTGAAGAACATTGTAAGGTCTGTTTTCCTTAAAGCAGATGCAGAAAGCAGGGAGAAAGTGAAAATCTGCCTCCGAGGAGTTTCAATTAGTGCACTGTGAAATATAATTAGGCTAATACATCAGACTAATAACATTTACGGCTTTGCTTTTGTTGCCACAAATGGATTACTGGATTAATGATCCTACGTGCCAGTCTGATGTGCAGTTTGTTTTGAAGATGATTTTTATCATTGTACAAACCAGAAACAGTTCCTTAGAACTGCAGGCATTGTTAGTCACCTGCAAGAAACAGTGTGTGCCCAACGTGCTCCTCCTGTGTGCGCTGGCAAGGGAGGGCTGGTACAGCACTGCCACTCACGGGACCTGTCCTCTCCCACCACACCAAACCTTAGAGAGAAGCACTGCAGCCCTCAGCCTTGGTGCAGGCTTTCATGGGCGCTGTCAAAGCCCCAGCTCTGCCTCATCCCATCGTGTTACTTTAAAGTAAGTCTAAAGATTTTTTGAAGGAAAGAGAGCATTACACCATGTTTACTTAGAACACAGAATCAATTCTTTATGCAACTATTTTTTTACACATATAGTTGTGGGTTTATACATATGTATAAAATATGTACTTATATCGTACAAATATCTGTATCTATCTATCTATCTATAAGTGTATATATAAAGCATTCCCATGATGAATTATGAAAGGAAATGGTGCACAGCCAGTATTATTATGAATATCTTAAAAACTGTACTCCCAAGTATAATGTTTGACTTGGAAAAACTTTCCTGAACATTTTGGGGCAATTTTCATGATTTCCTCTACTGCTGGTTCCCAGGGCCATGCTCCTGGTTCAGAAGAGAGGAGGGTGGAAATGGGAGCTGTACCAAAGCAGATTTCTGGGCTGTAAAATGTCTCCTTTGCACTGACTACTGCCAAACAGAGGACAGCAGTTTTCACTGTTGTTGCCTTTGAGGACAAGCAAAAACAATCCTGTAGATTGTTCTTGTTTAGGTGTGTGCTCCTGAAATAGCTTGGTGGCTGACATCAGCTGCCCACTTTCTGTCAGGCTGCTGCTTTAATGAAGAACTAAAACCTTTAATTCATAGTCGTACAAACTCTGCTTTAATTAACAATCCAAGGATGTAAAGTTCTTAGCTTACAGAACACCATCTGAACAGGTTAGATACAGCAGTAATTTATTTCTAAAGTTAACTTTGAATAAAGAGAACTTGCTTTTACTCCATCCATCTGACACCACGTATACATCTCCATGTTTTAAACAGATAACCCCACTCAATTTTCACTATGTTTAGAGTTCAAGGTATGATTTCTGGTGTATTTACCCCAAGCATTGAAATGCAAACATTTATTGCCTGAGCAATTTTTCCCAGGTTAAAAAACCCCAAAACAGTCTAAATCCACTAAATGTTGCTTTGCCATGGAAAATGGATTAGGATCAGAAAATGGCTGATACATAATTAACCACAGCAAGCTGAAGATGCTTGTTTCAGAAGCTAATTCTATATTCATTCTTAAATTGTGATGTTATGTCTGCAATGCTTTGAAAAGATACTTTGCCTTTTTTAATGACTCAATTCAACTACTTTAATTGCAGGCCAGAGATGATAGACAAGGCAAGAAACAAAGCTCGAGTGAAAGCCTGTTACATCATGATTGGGCTCTCAATTATTGCCTGTTTTGCGGTGATTGCTTCAGCTAAGAAGGTGAGGTATGACCGTGTAGCACACTTTAAAATAATAGAATTCTGTGAAAAGCACACAAATCTAAACCAAGAGCAGCAGCTTAGAGCTGCCCAAGCTTTAGCTAATCTAGTCTCTGTCACCCCCACCACCCTAAGTGGCTGTTGCCCATTCCCGAGGCTGGGTAGCTTTCCCTGGGTGCATCCTTTTTCCTATGTTGCTACTTCCTCAGGCTGCCGCACGTCATGAATCCTTAACGAGCCTGAACTTGGCAAAGAAGGCCAAGTGGCGGAAGGAGGCTGCGCTGGCCGCGGAGGCAAAGACCAAGTAACTCCGTCTGAAATGCTCAATGTCCTCGGAAAAGCAAAATTAACTGCTGCTGAGAGCAAGTAGTGAGTGTCACCCCTAAATGGACAACTGCAGTATGCACACCCTAGAGCCAGTAAGGGCAGCCACAGCATCACAAAAAAGAAAGAAAAAATGACTTTCATTAGGAAGATATTCAGGATACTTGGTCCATATAATTAAAACTATTTAGAATGTTTTGCATATGATTAAAAGCAGTAATTAGTTTTAAAGGGGATGAGGTAGTTTCCTAAGAATGTCAGGTACCTTTGGTTAGATAACCACAAAATATTTACACCCAAGAAATTTTCTGTCTGGTGACAGTGCATAGTTTTTCAGTGCACAAATTGCCACTTGAAATTCACTGGCATCAATGCTGTATTCAGAATGGTATTTGCATTTTTTAGCTTTAAGAAGCAACACTTATTGAATCACTAAATAAATACAGTAAACATCTGTAAAATAGGTTTTATTGGTTTCTGTATGGTATTTGGAGATTTAACATTCCATAATATTGCATACTACTAATATGTGTTCTGTTACAGTAATGGGCCTTTGGCCTGGATTTAAAGATGCACTATTACTATCTGAAGTTCATACAGGTAATTTAGTTTTCCCACATTATATATGTAAGACATTGTGCCATAAGTAACTAGAATTTCGCATTCCAGATTTCAGTGAAATCTTGAGGTCACAGTTTAAGTCCACGTATCCATCTGCAGACCTATTACAAAAATCCTCAGCTGTACAATTTTAATAAATTTAAACCTACTGAGAATTAATCATGGAGGAAAGACAATAGTGCATCTTTACTATTTTTTTTAAAGACAGGCCCAACAATAAATAGTTTCCAGTTGCAAACTTGTTCTACAGCAAACATTTCTGTGCCAACATTATTACTATTTTCTGATTGCTGCTAGGAACAGTGTGTAAAGCAAATACTAGAAAATTAAAAAGCTGTATGAACCAATCCTCAGACAAAAGTGCAACGATGAAAAAATTAGATATGATTCAGTGTAACAAGAGTAGGGAACTATTAAAAAAAATCTTATGCTCTGCATAGTTGCATAGATTAGCTAGTTAGTATTCACATTTAGGCAGAACAAATGGTACCCTTTTAATTAAACCCAAACCCCTGTATTTTTAAACAGACTTTGTAACTGATGGGGCACTTCAGATTGCATATAAAATGCCAAACTTAACAAGATTTTCATATCACAGTTTTGTTTCTCTCTCCATACTAGTTTCATCTGTTTAGGTATCATCATAATCATGTCCCTACCTGCAAACAAGTACACCGGAGCTGACCTTAAGTCATAATCTCTGGTTTCATTTTGTTCATTTATGTGCTTCTAACAAAGCATGATATAAGCCCAGTGATAAAATAGGAGAGACCATCCTTTAAACAATTTTCGTTATTATTTTTCAACAATATCAGAGTAAACCAAATGTTGAGTTTAAATAGATTTTCATCATCCTAAGTCCATCAATTTTAGTTCCCTTTCAAATTGTTCCATTTAAATGTATCAGAGGCATGAAATATAGTTTGCCTAAATGTGTAAAGTGCAGTCACTAACTGTCCACAAGCTAGAATAATATATCCACACAACTGAAGACATTCTTTCAAAACAAATATAATACTTTAAATCTCCCCTCTTTTCTTAATTTTCAAGTCTTTCAATTAAGATTTTCATAGTTCAGATTTGGTTTAAATAAGAGAGGCTTATAAATGTAGTTTTACAGGGTTCTCCAAATAAAAAGCAGGCACAGCTGGTTGTTATCAAAACAAGGTTGTTAGAAACAAAGGAATACCCTGTTACCTGAATAATTTTCTTACACTAGAACACTGAAATTCAGCATTTGCTAGTAACCTTGGTAGATTTCCATGATTGTTACCCTGTTCTTTGATAGATGGGGAGTGGGCAGATCATGGGAAAGAATGAGGGTTGGTGTATGAAAACCTAAAACTATGAGAGTAAAAAGGGCGTAAGTACAATCACCTAACATTATATGAAAATTTGGCAGCTGTACTCAATATTATCACACTATTCAAAACTGTTGTATGCTGTACAAATCTAGGTTTAAAGTGTCATTTGCTAAAATATCTCATTATTCAGAGTTCATAAAGTAACAGCACTCCTATGTACACTTCTTACACTTCTATCTTCCACTAAAAAGACTTCAAAGGGAGGTTGCTTCCGTCCCAGTTATATCTTAGTCAAAACTGACCATTAATTTTAGAAAATCCACTTCAAGTCCCACATTCAATTACAATATAGAATATATTGCTGTAACATCAAAGTGAAACATCTTAGAATCTTAACTTGCATGTAAAAAAAATTCTAAATATAAAATGGTACTGTAAATGATACCACCTTTAACCTGTATTTTTCAGTGCATTAAAATATTATTTAGTGACAAGCACAGTGCCATGGGTAAGTAATTTGAAGGTTGAATTGCAGCCTTTTATGAAGCATGAAATGCTCTCATATGTCACAGATTTCACTTAACCCAGGAATTTGATGTTAATACATTAATTACAGGTAATAAAAAATAGCAATACTCCAGAGTTAACCCAAAGTATTAATTTCTCCAAATGAGATATACTAACACACCAGAAACACTACCTATATGCAAGTCAAAGCAGAGCATACATTTTTCTGTACTCAAAACTGTTAACATAAATATTAGAATTCTGTATCTTTTAGTGTTTAACAGCAAACACTGTATATTGTAGAGCCTAAATATTTAGATGACAGTAACTTCTAGTTAGTTTTGGTGTCCACATACTTAATGCTATTTACAGTACAACAAACTTTTCCTTCAACTGGCATGATTCACTATTCATTTTTCACTGCAGTATTTCTATTGTCTTACCAAAAGCAAACCAAATTCATTAACCTAAGGAACAATTCAAGTGGCAGTAGCACACTTGGTCAAAAAACAACACTTACTGTCTAAACTTTTGAGAAGCTATTGTACTAAAAGGCAAACATTGCAATGTTTCTCAAACGAAAGTGGTGTTACCACATCTTGACAGAAGCCAGCTGTAAAACATCAGCTTGGTGATTGGTGCACATCACCCTTCTGTCAGTCCTAATTGCAGCTTTCTTGTGGTAACTGCAGTGGCTGCTTCCTCTGCAAAGTACTGCAGTTGTGGCTGACTTGTAATGCCATTTAGCAGCTTTCATTACAGAGCCAACATCTAATGACCAGCAAGGTCTCTGCTGATTCCAATTTGAAAACCTCTGAAATAGTCCTCTTCCCACATAATTCAGAAAGAACTTTTTCATATATTCAATATTATATTAGGTAATTAGCATTATATATGTATATCTATTATGTCTTTAAATACATTTTATAAATAAATTCCAACAGTGTGTTGTAAAGTAAGTAATGCATAAAAGTTTCACAATTTAAATAAATATTTTTCACATTCCAATTCAGCTTCTTACAAGCTCATCTTTATTTCATGCCTTAGTTCTGAAGCAATGTTTCTGCTTCAATGCAAGAGGTAGATTTGATAGAGACTGGGCAAGTCAAGCCTACTGCCAAAAATTCAACTGTCAGTAACTGTATTGCTGATATGAAGTTTGAGACTACATGAAAATTCAGCACTACTACCTAAAATCCTACCAAGTCTTAGCTAAACAGTTCTTGTTAAATCACATTTAATGCTTTTAGACATGATTACTCACAGTTTTTTTTCTGTACATAAGAGATAATGAAGAACACAAATACAAAACAGAGAACAGTTGTCTCTAACACAATATATAAAAGTGCATGAGCTGTTTCTTCATCTATTTCTGTAAAACATATTCAGCTTTTCCTCTAACTTTGGCCATAAAGAAAAGACCTCAGAGAAAAAAAACCCCAAACCATACAAGTGTTTAAATTTTATGCTTATATTCACTTCAGTAGTTCAGAGCTGAAACCCCTCCATTGGAGCCTCCTGCTGTTGAAACACAAACTGCTGCTGACTTTCATCCACCTGAGGTGCAATACTAGAGTCCTCTTCTTCAACACCAAAATAATGTTCTATGAGTTCAAAAGCCTTTTGGTAGATCTCTTGGTTTTCATGCCTCTGAAGAAATTCAATTTTATCCAGTCCTAAATTCAAAACAGAAAATTTTCAAAAATATAGTTGCTTAAATGAATTATGAATTCAAACAGCTTTTAGTACAGCAGTACTTCTTAAGGCAAAAAGATGCAATCCCAAGTCACCTCAATTAATTTGATATCACTGGTTCTTAATTTCCTAACCTATGTATTTCTAGTCTTCATTTTCTGCTCTCCAAACTCATTTTAAAACTAAGCTAGAAGCGTTTCAATTAAACTAATATCCCGATTTCTATTCTTCTACTCTTAAGTCTTCCCCAACTCTAAATTCTATCTCACTCACGGAGCCATCAGTGGGCACAGTCTGGTATCTTTTTTGAATTTAATTGTAAGATTTAAAGATAGTACCTTTTGGAAAACTTATCATTTTGCAAGGAGAGAACATAATTCAGTCAAAGGTGCAGAGGTTAAGTGCTAGGCAGTCAGTTAGGTTAATATAAAATTCCTGCTTAGCTTTTCAAGCATGGGCTTTAAGGTAATGTAGTTTTCACTTAGGATGGATTAGAAAGAGCTCAAATGAACCCTTCTAGTGACTGCAGAGGCCAAAGCAATGACGGTGATATAATCAGCTGCTTTCCTTACTTGAACTTATACTCTACAGCTTCAGCAGCCCATGCTTAAGTGCTAAAGCAAAGAGAACCTAGAGAGTCAATACTTAAAATTATGAATGGACAGAAAATCTGTAATACAATAAATTCCATTAAAGTCTTCAGTACTTACTCCTCCTATGCATTTAATTGCTAAGTTCTTCAAGCATGCGCTTGATTTTAAAAAGTGAACTCTGTAACAGGGAATTCAGATGTAAAGACTGCTTTACAGTAAAGTTAGTACTATCTAATCAGATACAATGTGGTCAATTAGAACTACAGTTCTATTAGTTACTAGCAGTTTCTGAAATACAAATGTCTGACAATTTTGTTTCGTCAGAGCTACAAAAAAGGCAATTCTCCAAAAAGAATGCCAGTTTCATTATAATACAATTGTAAAAAAATAGAATGAAATTCCACAAATTAGAATGGTTTATATAGAGGTTTAATTTAAGAATATTGTAAGAGACTAAACAAAAATACTTGCAAAAGAAAAAAACTTATTTGGTTTTATGACCTGAAATTGATTTTGCTGTTACTAATATTTACTATATTAATAAGTGATCCAACATTAGGATCAATTAAAAAAGCCCTGATATGACATCCCTGTTGGTAATGAAACTGTAGCAGACAGGACTATGTATTACAGTATTAAAAACTGTATTTAGGAATGGCTGATAAATTTATGCAAAGCATGGTTCCAATAGACTGGGACATCTGTGTTAAACCCTCCTGAGAATGCTTCTCTAGAGGGACATTTAAACTGACCACAGACAAACACCCAGAGCTTTCTGCATTTAACACTTTCCCCTAAATGTTACATTAGTTGTTTTGTGATACTTTGTGACTACTTCTGCTTGGAATAATTCTTGTATTAAAACTTACTGCAAATTTCAAAATGACTCACAGTGCTTTTGTTTTTGCAGCCTAGAATAAGGAAGTTCAGGTATGTGATTTCACAAGAAGTGTGTTCTTACCATAGGCTTCCTCTATGAGGGCACAATAAGGATTAATGCCGATTCCATTTTGCTTTGACTCTTGTTCTCCAAGACGCAGAATATTTTCAAGTCCATTTAAAGCCACCTGTACTATTTTTGAATCCATCACAGTCAGGAGGTCACAAAGAGGCTTAGTACAACCTAGTGCTACCAAATACCTTTATAACAGAAACAAAACAGAAGAAGGGGAAAAGAACTGATAACCTAGCACATTTATTCTGACATACCAGTCTACTGCTATTAATACTTTGCTAAAAATGTGGCTGAAACAACAGAATTTCTAAATCATCGAACAATACAAACAGAAACGTAGCCCAAAATGAAATAAATATTACTACTTATCCTAATAAAACAAAATGAATGTGTGTATTTCTAACTGGAGTATGAAATCTGTAGTCTTTTTAACTTCTTTTTACCTACAATCTTCAGGTGGGTTTAATTGAATATAAAAGAAAAAACTCTATCAGGAAGTTCTTTTCTCAGGCAGTTGAAATTTTCTAGTGGTAAAAATATGAAGTAAACACATTAGATACATGTAAGAACACTGAGCACTGTTCTGTGCTAACACAGTTCGCACTAGCAGTCCATCAAGATTTTAGCATCACCTACTATAAAGAGAAGGATGCAACTCTAAATACAAAGACAAAATACTGGGATTGAGTATCCCACTCCTTTTCACAATTTTGAGAAAAACTGTGTATGAACTTTCACAAGTCATCACCTGTGTCCTTGTTTTTATCATGTGAGTAAAATGATGACAGCAATGTTTGCCTAAATACAGTTTAATTCCGTGGTTTAAAACAATCCTGCAGTTAGGCAGTAGTACCCTGAGGACGTTAGGAGGACTAAAACTTCACAACACCAATAATATAAATGTATTTTTTATGAGGAGCCATTGTTATGGTATTATATGCAAATCTACTATTTGAAGATCCTGAATTAAAATTTATTTTTAGAATGCTAGATTTTGAAATATTACAGTATACAAGCAATTTTTAAAAATTAAAAAAAACAAGACACTTTGCTTTGTTATCCCTGTTATCCCCCTGACAACGCTTAGTGGTTATAAGAAAATAAGGATTAGTTACATTATAAATAACTAAGAACATACTTCTTGCAACTCCCACATATGCTGGAAAAGTTATCACATCACTTTCAGTTCTGGCTTCCAAATAATACCGTAACTTTTAAATCAAATTATCAGCTACTGATTCAAAGTGATCATTATTCTACAGTACTGAGAGAAACCAGAGAGTATCTTATTCTAGCAATTCTATCTTTGCAGCATACAAATAGCTATTGATAGTAAAAGTTCAATCAAACTCAGTTCTGAGCAA